TAGGCTTTTTTTTTTATCAGAAAATTTGGTTCAAGTAATTATCAAAAAGAGTTTTAATTTTTGAACTATAACTAATATCTAATCTCAAATTTTTTTAAATACTATTAATCTATTTTTAAATATACTAGATTTTATAACTATACTAACTATAGAATTACAAAAAACAACTATAGTAGCTACTACCTAAAGCCAACATATTTTATAAATAGATATTAATTTTTTAGCTATAGTTAATAATACTGCTCAAAACTTAGTAGTTTCAAATTAGTTATAACCAAAACTAGTTTTAATTTATTTTTTTAAAACTAGTTTAAAATTTGAAACTATACTAAAAATCTAAGACTATGTAAAAAGTCAAAATTATTTTATTTTTATTTTTTAATAACACTGCCTCTTTATTGCTCTTTTTGTGAAATGTATATACATATACAGTTAACTTTCTCTTAACTGAACCTCTCTAAACCAAACTCTCTCTTATCTGAACTAAAAACTTTAAAATATTTATAAATTTTATTATAAAGTTTGGATAAGCTTATAATACCTCTTTGAAAACTGAACTAAAAATCTAAGAACAGACTATTTGGATAAGAGAAAGTTGACTATATATTGTTTTTACGTACACCATTGGCAACTTATTTCTAACTAGTATCTATTATGCTGCTATTACCAAGTTAGTATCCCATGCCACCTTTTAGAGTACTGCTATAACCTAATCTGTATCTTAAGTCATAACCTTTCTAATTAGTCATTCCCTATCACAGATATCCAGGTTCTTTCTCCTGTAGTGTTGCAGTTTCTAAAAATCTTTATTAACCACCTTGAGTGAGATATACCAAACCTTACAGCCTGGTATAGTTGTATTAACTCCTATTTTATCTCACTGACAGATCAATACATACTGTGAAGTTTGCCATTCCCGGCTTCAGGTTAGTATTTAAAATTTTAGATCTAAACACTGTTCTTATAAGAACAATATAATAGCTATAGGTGTTTTTACTCTAATATTTCTATTCTCACTTAATGATCATAAAAAAAATAAAAATAAAAAATAAAAGAAATGATTTTGAATTGCATATCAGATATATATATATAAATTGAATTTATGATTATATTTATAAGTAGATATTTCAAAATTTATATTAGATTAAAATAACTGTCTTAATATTAGAATTTTTTTATAATTTTTGAAAATAATATATTTAGTATTTAACTTTGTGGATTAATATTATATAGTTTTTTACTACAGTCAGATCTCTTTATAATTACAAGTTGGTCACACTCTATTTTGATAATTATATAGAGGTATGACTATAAATAAAATATCTTTCATAGTCATATGACCAAAGGCCAATAAGTAATATATTTATGTATATTTGAATTACTATTAAAAATTTTAAAATGTTTGATAGTAAGTAACTTTTGATCCAGTAGACCAATTTGGATAAAATATCTACTAGTATTTAACTCAATGAGATGATTTTGAAGAGTCCAAATCATCCAAATCTAATTGCAAGATGCTAAGTTTATTAAGAATTTTTAACTAAGATATTTAAATTTAATCAATTTTAACTATATAAAATGATACAAATTCTTAACGATCACAGGAGCATGTGATTAGATTTTAACATCTTGGACTTATTAGAATCATTTCATTAAAACGAACATTTTGGTGGTTTGTTTTATTTAAATTGGACTACTGCATCAAAAGATATTTGCCTTCAAACCTTTAAGAATTTTTAATAGAATATTTTAAATAAGCATGAATATAAATATCGGCCAATCAGATTTTGTAATCTATATTTAGTCAATATTTGTAACTATAAAAAGGGTTTTTACTAATAAAATTGATAAAAAAATCCAAATTTTTTTGTGATAGTGATTATAAGCGATTTGTGACTATTAAGAGGTTTTTTTACTATATTTAAGTCCGTTACACAATATTTGGTGCTTATATAGAGGTGTGACTATATGGGGTGTGACTATAGAGAGGTCAGACTGTATGTACATGTAAATATGTACTTGAACTAAAATTTATTATAAAGTATTTTTCTTCAAATATAATAGTTTTGAAAGCAGATAGAGAAAATCTTTAAGCATTTATATTGTTTCGTCAAAACTTGTACCAAGGCTATTAATTAAAATAACGTCCCGGCCGAAAATTTAATGATCCGACAATGATTTTTTTCATTAATCTTAATATGATTAAATTATATGAATTGCAGATATGAATTGTCGTAGTTTTGAGCCGTATTCTGAGGTTTATTCTGATAAGTGTGTCGGAAGTTCGGTGCATCGAATATAACGCAATGGAAAAAAAAGAACATTGAAAACGGCCCAAATCGATCGTCTCATGACATGTACATTGTGTTTTTTTCGGGCAAATTAATTTATTGTTTTTAAATATCAACAAAAATGGCCTTGGTGTTTGTTTTTTTTTTAATCTTGTTATTTACCTGAATATGTACCGGAGTAGTAACAATGATATGCCCATTAGGAATTATAGCATATAATATTATTATGTCTATAAATATATATCATGAAAGAAAAAAAAACAATAAATAACAAACTAGACAAAACGAAATAGTTAAAACCAATAGCACACTGGATAATAATAATAATTTGTGGAATAACAGATACTCGCGCAAAGCATGTGACGAACGCGAAAGAACGCTTTCAAACCCTTCTTTAAAATATTTTGATCTCATGACAATATTTCACACATTCAAATCTTTAATTTTTTTTTTAGTGTTCTACAAGTGCCGGGCATGGTATTGTTAAACAGTATCCACACCGTACGTACGTACATAGCACTGTATTTAATGGACATATGCAGACTCTAGAGTCGGGATACCTCGCGTGACTGAGTTTGAACATTAATTATACGTGTTGTTTCACTTTCTCAAAAGCGGAGCAATCGACAAGCTTATCAAATATATCTGGATAAAGCTTTCATATCAACGGGAATTGTTCTCCGCGAAGTATTAGAGATTGATTACTTAATATTTTTCTATTTTTAACAAAATGTAAGCAAAATGACATGTAAACTTCCAAGTTTGTTCTAGAAGACGATGTAATATAGCATGTGCATCTCATATGCCTTGCACGAATAAATTTCAGCGTCTCGTGATGTAATATGCACAAAATAGCTGTAGAAACTATCTAATTTTAGATGATCATTAGTTTGTCCGAGTCACGTATAATTTTTTGTGTAATATTGTGAATAATTCGAGATTTGAATGATAACTTATCAGTTATCGGTTGTACCAACGTAATGCAGGCGCACATTCGTGTTACACGCATGACGTTAATATTGACGAATAAGAAAAATAATCATCCGGATTGATTCATAAACCGGTCGCCCCGACTTGGTCATGGCGGTTCGTTGATTATCTGTTTTATACCTGATCGGTGGTAGATCTTCTTATTTGGATAAGTTCTAAAGTATTTTTCATATGTTATGTAATATGCATTTAATCTAATTATATTAGTAAAAAGACCAATAAAAATTCTGTACCATACCGACTTCGTTGAAAAAGGGTGGTCTAATTTTATTAAGAACGTTGATGTGGCATGTTTCACTTTCCTTTTCACATTAGTGTCATGTGAATTTTTTTGTAGCTAAGAATAATGCAATTTTAGAAATTATAGAACCATTTTTATGAGTTAAAGCGAAAAAGAAAATTTGACATGCAAAACAAATATTAAAATGTAATACAGTAACAAACTCACGTAATTGTGAGTCGAAAAATAATGATGACTAATAATTTGTTGTACATAAAAAACAATGATATTACGCGTGAAACACAATAGGTATCAAGAACAAGTTACGCGGTCAAACTGAGCTTCGTGATTCCATTCAAATATATTTCCTTGCATGTTCATATTAATCTTGATACGTATTAACTAACTATGAGTCTTACTACAATAATGTACATACGATATAATAATGTGACCGGTCATTCATGCATTTAAAAGACGTTAAAATACGCATTTCATTTACGAACTTATAAGTTAAAGCTTGGACCCTTTTATATAACAGATAATATTTTTACTAATCAATAATCAGAGGTTAGATCATTGTTGCATATTTACGTACGCACGCAGTTTATTAGGATCAAATTAGGTAACTTAAGTAAATGCAAAAAATGCCGAAAGTCATGATAATCATGAGGTACCCGGGTCTAACAGCATGCTTTTCCATAATTCTATTGGTCATGGAGATGTATGTACTGTACATCATTATACTGTTAAAAGAACGACCAAAGATGTAGAACATGCTGCGTAGTGTACAAAATTGTTTATTATTAATATAAGAATATTGATAAAGTAATACAAACGCGTAATCAGAAGTGTCATATGCACACATGTTCAACACCTTGTTTCAGAAAACACATTGTGTAATCTTTAGTCCGTGCCTCGTTCTTGCATAGAGTCAATGATTGGTTTTTGCCAAAAATCATAAGATTCTCGTATTATGTATTAAACTTGTATTAAATCAGGTGAATATAAGTGATTATAAGTCCAAACAACTCATATCCGTATGTTCGATTTAATCTGCAATTACAAAGAATAAAAAAAGAACTATGCATAGAGTAAGTATTAGCACTTGTGATCCCGAAGACGTGTCGATTATACACGATCGACTATAAGCTTCATTTTAGATCACATGGTTTTCTGTATTAAGTTATTGAACTGACATTAAAATTATTACTAATGATTAATTTTCCGAAGCGAATAGACTGTATCAATATTTCCTTTATTAATTTTATATTTTTATTAATTTTTATGTAAGAACTTTAACAATATTGGTAAAAATTCTAAGTCTTAATGATCTTATATTAATAAAATCTTAATATATAAAAATGGGAAAAGAAAAGTCTATTTACAAATAAATCTTAAATTATATAATATGATCAACCCCAGATATATAATAATAATACCAAATTTGTTTACATAATTGTTCCTCCCAATAGCCGAATATATCACGGATTATCTATTTATTACGCGTGAGGGTAAGGCATTGTATCATTGTAACATAAACCATAAATATCACAATCTACATTGCTATTAATAATGTTAAAATTATCAGTATGAAATTGTAAAGGTTGCATCATATCATAATTATTTGATTGCATAAACGGTGTATTTTCGGTTATTTGATTTATTTCAAATGAAGAAATAACATTGTCATTATGTGATGAATTATTAAAAATTTGTAAATTTAGATCATTTACATTGTTTAAAAATGTTGGTTCTTGAGTAAATAAATTTAACTCTGATAATTCACAGCCAAAGTCAAATTGACGAAAACTAATATCTTGATAAGAGGGTACGGTAAAAACATTCGATGAAGGCGGTGTATTTATAGAGGTTGAAATTGGCGATTGGTCATTAAAGGCATTATTAGCATTAAAATCTGTATCGGATAGATACATTTCATACAATAATGCGGAATCGGGATTCGAAAGATTGTTTGGTGCTGCATTTGAATACATGTTAAAGGAAGGAGGGGTGGAATTTATGCTATGTGAAAATGGATCAAGAATAATGGGACTAGTATCTCTAAATTCGATATTTTTATTATCTTTTATCTCTTTAATGCTTTTTGTATTGTTCTTAAGATTTTTATTTTTACGTCTCCTCTCATTTTTATTTAAAGGAGGTGCTGGCGGATCGAAAGAAACGATGTTCCATCTATCTTTTCTTTTTCTTCTTCCAGATTTGGGGTACATCTCGTTACGTACCCTCAAAGCTTCTTTAGCTATTCGACGATATTCGGCTTTGACAG